AGGTACGGGGGGGTCACACGTGAGTGGGGGGACATGGGTGGGCCTGGTTGGGGGGCGTAGGGGTCCGTCACCCTGTCCTCACTCTCTGCAGCCCCCCGTGCTGTCCCCTGTCCCGACGGACAGTCTGAGTGTCCCGACAATGCCACCTGCTGCGTGACGGCCAGCGGCGCCTGGGGGTGCTGCCCCATGCCCCAGGTACGGGGAGGGGGACGTGGGGACATTAGCGGGGGGGACATCATGCTCGTCACTGCTGTGACGAGCAGGTCCGGTTCCCGCAGGCCTCGTGCTGTGCTGACAAGGTGCACTGCTGTCCCCACGCCACCGTCTGCGACCTGGCCCACGGGCGCTGCCTGTCACCCGCCGGTGATGTCCCCCTGGGCACCCCGTTCCCCGCCTGGAAGCGCCAGCCCCCGGCGCCAGGTGAGGGGTGTCCCCCTCTGGGTGGTGGGGTGTCCTCGCTGTCCCCTCGGAGGGGACACGGAGGTGGGGAGGGGGCACGGTGAAGCTGTGTGTGTGTGTGCGTGTGTCCCCCAGCAGTCGCACTGCACCACGTGCTGTGCCCCGACGGCCGCTCGGCGTGTCCCGACGGTGCTACCTGCTGCCAGCTGCCCTCGGCGCGGTACGGCTGCTGTCCCCTGCAAAACGTGAGTGCTGGCCCCGCGCTGGACAGCCTGCACCGGGCACCCCACGCCAGGCACCTTGTACCGGGCACCCCACACCAGCCACCCCATGCTGGGCACCCCATGCCGGGCACCCCGTATCAGGCACTGTGTCCCAAGCACCCCACGCTGGCCACCTTGTACTGGCCACCTCGTGCCAGCTGTCCCATACCGGGCACCCTGAGCTGAGCACCCCACGCCAGGCGTCCCCGTGCCATGCACCCCATACCGGGCACCCTGTCCTGGCAGCCCATGCTGAGCATCTCATGCCAGGCACCCTGTCCTGAGCACCCCGTGCTGGGCACCCTGCGCTGGGCATCCCGCACTGAGCACCCCATGCCAGGCACACCGTGCCGGGCACCCAATACCAGACCCCCCCATACCGAACACCCCATGTCAGGCACCCTGTCCCAGGCACCCCGTGTTAGGCACCCAGCACTGAGCACCCCATGCCACGCACCCCACACCGGGCACCCCACACCGGCAGCCCACCCTGTCCGTGGCACCGCTGGGACCCCCCGGGCGGGTAGGGCGGGCGGGGGTCCAGCAGGCACCGAC